ACATAATTTGATGATCCTCTCAAATAAAGAAAATTTCAACAATTGTTGTCATGAGATTGAAACTCTATCTTTCTTACTTTTAACTTAATTTTCTCTTAATTTAGTGATACTTTGTGTGATTTAAAGTTTTTTTTATTATTCAATTACGATTCTTTTTACTTTTATAGATCTTAATTTGACTTATTAAATTATCTATAATCACTTACATAAGAATCATCAGGTGTAACTCTATGTCTATCTTAATCATGCTCCTCAGGATAATGACATCATCATGATGCCCACACCTTTATATTTTTTTAGTAAATTTTTAAATATATTTTATATTCATCATTTAGTCTAAAAATTATATAAATATATTATTTTAAAAATATTAAATATTATGTGATATTATCGTACATCCTTATGATAAATTTGGAAATTCTTCATGATTTTTGAAACATTTTATCAAATTATAATTAATTTATTTGTTCTGAAATATTTCTAAAAATTCAAAAAATGATATTTTCTAGTTTTATAAATTTCATGGAACTCATCCCCTTAAACAACTCATGTGCCAAATCTTTAGATAAGATGATTTGTTAAATGTAATTGACTTTTAGGGTTCTCAAATTTCCTTCTATTTAAATTCTCATAGATAGTAGATTTTCATTGAATTACGTAGTTCTTAAATATTTTAGTCATCACATTTCTAAGATCACATAAGTGCTACCCAACTTTAAAGATAGATAGTCTCATATCACCTATAAACTTTATCTCAATTATTACCCATTTACATATACCTTTATCTTGCACTAGGTCTTCATTTCCCAAGATCACTTCACAACTAGTTGTGTTTGATGACAACATTTTTAGTTTCTTCACTAGTGTATTGCATATAAAATTTTGGATTGCCCCAATTCAATGAGTACAATCGTATCTTTCTTTTGAATTTCTTCTTAACTTCATCATGCCCAAATCTAGTAATTTGACAACTAGATGTAGCAACACTTCTATTACTTTCTTGAGATTTTTTATTGAGTAATCTTCTCTATCTTCATATTTTAACTTTTCACTAATTATCATTAGTACATCTCTCATTACTTTAATCTTCATCAGAACCAAAATAATCTATAATTAATAAAGAATATTTTCCTTGTAGTGGGAAGTAGAATCCTTTCTCTCAATAGGCACGTAGTTCTACCTCCATTAGGTTAAGCCTTCTCTTCTTACCTCTTGACACTCCTCCTACGGTAGCCTCTATATGTCTCATTTTTTCCAAAATTTGGCCAATTGCTTGGAGCATTTCTGCCCAATTGTGCCGAATATGTTTGGCTTGAACATTTCTTGATAGTCAACCTATTCACTACTCCACCATGTGCCTAATGTCCAATGATGTGTGGACTTGAAGTCCTTGATAATTCCTAAGTTTCATGCTACACATGTGTTAAAAGTATTTTGTTGAAAATTTGAGAGAAATACATGATTTCACACAACCCACTGTCTTGGACATACTCTATTAAGACTAAATTTAAGGCTTCATACCTTTTATGTGATTGTTCTCTATGATTTGTTTTGATTTATGTTTGATAAAGGTTAATATGACCTTAGGACCGTAATGGTATTCTACCTTTGTCCCTTCTTATCTCAATTCAAATAATGTTAATACATGTTGCTATAGGATGATGATTGAAAGTGTTATTGTTGTTGTCACTTAGGATATCCCTAATCTTTGATTGAATAATACTTTGTGGTCCATAAATATTATAACATTACATCCCATTCAAACCTCAAAGTTGTATCTTTCATTTATTCCTCTTGAATCACAACTTGGTATGAAGCATCCATCCATTTGCATTGGCCCTATTAAAAGAGAAAATGTCACATCAATAAATACAATTTCTCTCCTCTGCCAACCAACTTGGTTGTGATGGTACGTTGGACCCCATGATGCCTTATTTTTTACATTTTTTTCTTCATGTTGGTGATGTCCATCTCAATGCCCTCCATTTGATGCTTCAATGCCTTCAATTGATTTTTAGGGAACTTCAACACCATTAGTCTTGTATTGTGAGTTTTAATGTCAAATGATAGAGATCTTTCCAAATAAACAAAACTCATTTGAAGAAAAAGAAAGAATAAGGAAGCAAAATCTTGACAAAACACAAAAGTAATAGTTAGATAATCTCCTTGAAGCTCTATTAAAACTTAGAGAAGATGTTTGAGAGGCCTTCACATTTTCTCTTTGGCATGTTCAAGTTCTAGCTATTTCAGAAGAAACCACTTTCTTGCATGAGATGACTTATAATAATCCTTATATTTACCATGGTGGAATTACCCTTCCTTCTCCCTTCATATTTTTTGTTTCTTTTATCTTTTCGCTCTACTATATGCATGTTGTGTTAATTTCTTATCACACTTTCCACACATAAGAAAGTAAACGACTATAAGTGGGTGTACATGAAGAAATAAGTTTTGTCAAAATGAAACCATCTTAATATAAGATTTGACTTGTTGTCAATAGATTTGGATAAAGAAAAGGCATTAATTATGATAAAATTTTCTGACCAGTTTTTAAACACTATTCAATTCATGTTATGATTGCTATATTTTATTTAGAATTGAAGTAATTTGATGTAAAATAATTTCTACATAAAAAATTTGATGAAGACATTAATATGTTGTAACTATAAGATTTTATTTAATATGATAAAGAAAATATAATTTAAAGTTTTAAAAATTTATTGATGATTTGTAGAACTTCTAGTCAATGGTATAAGAACTTTGACCTTTTTATGTTATTAAATAGCTATACAAAAAATAAGCATGAACAATATATTAAAGGAGTGTCAATAGATACATGACAAATCTAATAAAGGTGTGTCAAAAAATTGTAAAATAAATTTTATGTTATCTTAAATGTATATTAGATATTGATTTATTATTTAAGTACATGTTGGATATGTTGACTTAAATTATGTAGGTGACTTTTCTAAGAAAATACATACCACATGATATATTTTTTCTCTAGGTGGACATCATATTGATTAGTTAGATGTCAACTTACTTACCAAATCCTTAAACTAGAAGCCTTCCTTTATTGCCTCAACTGCACCAATATACTCAAATTATATAATGGAGAGTGTGACAAATGCTATTTGTAAATTTGATATATCAAAACACATTGATATATTTCATAAACTGTGTAAATTCATTGTAGAATGTGAAATACACTTTATGAAGGTTCCTACACTAGATAATGTTAACAATATGATGACCAGGTCATTATCTACAGTCAGATTGAAAAATGTTTACTTATGTTAAGAAATCAAAAGTTATAAATAGAGATATTTCTATTAAATATTTATCTCATCGGTATTTGCTACATCAAGTTTTATGGATTAATCAAATTGGAGAATATTCTTATTAACTACTCAAAGGTAGTAAGTCAGAAAAAAGAGCCTAATGGCTAAAAAAGAGAAAGTACATCAAGAAGCTGAGAGAAATGGTGAGAGAGATATTTTCGGAGTCATGGGTTTCCAAAAGTTCAATGGAGAAGGGAGGCTGCTTCAAGTGGAGTTTTAGGTCTAGAAGAAGTGAGAAAGAGGTATGACTTTCCCCTCTTTCTCATAGGTGTTTTCTTGGTGTCAAGAAAAAGGAACTTCATCTTATAAAGTGCTGGAAAAGGAAGATTCAAGAGAATCATCTATCTTCATTCATGTCTCCATTTTAATCTTCATAGATGTAAAAGCTATATCTCCAAACCTCAAAATAATCTATCATGTATTGCCATTTGTTTGAGATTATTTGAATTAGTCTATTATCAGTTGATATTTGCAGCATTTGTTGATTTATTTTGAAATATCTCTTGTTAAAAGGGGTATGTATTAGCATTAGTTTGGTGCACTTGTAACATTTATTATATTATTATATGTTGTTGTTTCTTTCATAACCACACATTTGATATCCAAGATTCAATTACTAATTTCTTATAGTCATTTATGTTTTGACTTATTTCATAGCATCCTTTGATACACTATTCTTTATGTCTTGTCTTGCTTCTTCATCTTCTTAGCTCATGTTTGTATTTATGTCGTACAAGAATGGGTTGTTCATCCTTAAAAATAGGTTTTAAAGCTTTTTATTTGAGAATAGTCTAACTTTGAGAACTACTTATGGTAAACTACTTATGGGCCTGAATACAGTAGCGCATGCATGAAGGTGTGCGTCCCCTGAGTCTGGTGTTCGACCAAGATGAAGTGAGGAGAACATTAGAAACATGAAGATCAGTCTCCCTAGAAGGTCAGTATCCTCTGAAGATCAATCTCCAAGTGGACAATAGTTGCAGGGTAGAGAATGATCTTTTCACCAAAGGAGTATGAGTGTGCTGTAAAGAGATGGAAAGCTACTCTTTGGGCTGTGTTGGGCACTACACGTTGAGTATGATGTTGTGTTGTAAAGATGATTTTTCCACTCGAGAAGGAAGAAGAATCTTGTACAACTGTAGATATAGGAAGATGCTTTGAACCAAACGGTTTTCATCTCCCTTTGTGCTTGATAAGGGCTGTTTATTTTGTAAACATTCGTCCTATTTTTGGTAATCAGAATGGACACCGTCACTGAGAAATCGGCGGTCAAAGCCATAAATTGCGATCTGTTTAAAAGTCAAAGGGCTCAAATCATTCAACTTGGGCAAATCCAGGGGCAACATCATTAGGCACGGAAGCAGCCAAGATAGACCAGGGCCTGATAGAAGGCAGCTGGAATGTGTCCTGCCCCTTTGACAATCCCAAGTGTGGGCCCCGAGAGAGACCGGTGGCATGTAGAAGCACGCCTCTTATTTTAGAATGAGGGCAAGTTGACTTCTGATCCACGTGGCTTTCGCTTCTCCTCACTTTTTGCAGTCGTATAATACCCGACGCGGCAGCCACATCGTCCCCAAACCAACTCACTAGCGAGGCATCCCTGCTCATCTACGAAGGTGATCAGCTACACGAAGCTCTCTCTCTCTCTCTCTGCATACGATGAAACCCAAGGCAAAGAGTTCCCTCCTGCTGACACTCGGTTTCGTCTTCCTCTTTCTGGGTGCAACTCTCGCTTCTAGTAATCCTCTCTCTACTTCTCTACCCGCTCTCTCTCTCTCTGTCTTTCATTCTCTCCCCCCTCAACTGGGCTCTGGTATTCCGCAGGACGGCTTCCGTTGAGCACCCATGCACTCGACCACGAGAGACACGATCAAGATGAAGAAACCCCAGAGATCGCGGACCTGGTTCTTCCTCTCCCTCTCTCTATTTATCGATCCATCTACCAGTCTCCCTATCTCTATCCCCATCTTTTATTCCTCTATCTATCTCTATATTTATCTACGTAAATCTCTATTTACCTATCAATCTATCTATCTATCCATCCATCCATCCATCTATGTATTTATCAACCTCTATCTCAATCCGTAGTCTGTATACCCAGATGTCTATCCTCTCCGGAGTACTCATCCAAACGCAACAGCTCTGATCACCGGCGGCTGTTTCCTGTCGCAGAACGTCGCCGGAGAGGAGCCTCTGGCGGAGGAGACCTTCGAGATGCACCGGCGGATGGACCTCCAGAACCTCCAGGACTACGGGGGATCAAACGCCAATGACCACCACAACCCTGAACCCCCCGGCACCCCCTGAGTCAACCTCCCTGCATCACTTCCAGGAAGCATAATCCCCTCTCATCACCTCATCTGAGTCAACGCCCATCACTGTACCATCATCTCCTGTACTGAATAATCATCACATATAAATCCTAGTCTTGTTCCTAGTGCATGAAACGCGCAATTCCTTTTACCTAACGCGGAACGGGGAAAACTCGCGATCTCCTATTTACCGGGCCTCCCAGGGGATAAAGGCGAAGCCGCAACGAGACCGGCCAGAGCGGCGGCGCCTCCCCGCCGGACCTCGGCGGCGGTCGGTGTCAGAGAAATACCTCGGGCGTTGGCCGCCGCAGCGGCCACTTTCTGTGTACGTTGAAGACGACCCCCCGGGCCGACGGAACCACAGCCCTGATATTTACGGGCCGCGTGGGCCCGTCGTCCACTACTCACTTTGCCTTCGAACTCGGGCCCGAAGCTTAAATTATCGGGCTCTGTGGGCCCGGCCCATAACTCGTCCATATCCATTCCCATCGCTTTAAACGGTGCATCGGCGTATACGCTTCTTCGTCATGGGATGGGGCCCACCCACCTTCTATCTCCTACCAGAGGGAAATCTAATTTAATACGCGTTTAATTTCTTGTAGGAAATGACTAATATATTCCTAGTCAGCCTCCTCTCTAAAGGTAGCTGGGTCTCAATGATGAGGGGCATTTTTGTATACTCACGTTTTACGAAAGGATTAGAAGAGGCGATAATATTCTTATCATATCATATATGTCACCTCAACAGTTACTATTGTGACCGCACAAAAATATTAAAAAATACTTAAAATTATATATACGAATTTATTGGGCTAGCAAGAGGACTAATTAAATAAAAAACTATACAATTACTATCGTATTAATTATTTATCTACCCCCGAAAGCTAACCTTTTAATTACTATTGTATTAGAAAAAGCTTAACTTTAGTTTTAAATTTCCTTTTTTTAGCTGTTCAATTATAATACTCATTAAGAGTAATTGACCAAATTGGATCTATTTTTCGGCCAAACACCACATATCTAGTTTTAATTTTTTTAGTGATTCATGTTGACGAGTTTTTATTTTTTTTTACTCTCGATTTTAATATTTATCATTTTAAAAAAATCTAAGATTTTTGTGAACTAATCAGTGTATATTTAGGCTCGTTATTATATAGTTTCACGATATATATTATTGGTACAGGTAAATTGGTTAAGATATCCGTTGATAAATATGGGTTAATTAATTGGAATCCTTTACACGCTAAGAGGATATATTACCTTTTACAGAAAATAATGTCATCCGAAGAATATTCTCCCACTAAATCCCAGGGACTAATTCCTCATTTCGGCAAGCTTTCGTGAACATCAAGCGACGAGCGCAAAAAATGGGGTCATTTGCCTAATAAGGGCATTTCTCGGGGATAAATAGCTAATTATCCCTTATTAAGGGAGTTACATGCCGTACCAGAATAACGGCCTTCAGAATCATCCCGAAACTTAACAGTAACTCTCTCTCCACCTCGATCCTTTCATCGGCTATTTATACGAATCAAACCGAGCTTCTTTCCCGCCTCCTCCTCTCTCTCTCTCTCTCTCTGGTGCAGCATTGTGTTGTGTCGTCTGGCTTTGTCTTGTCGCGGGGATTCGGTCGGACGGGAGAGGCTATGGAGTTGCCTGTTTGCTCTTTCGTGAGATCGGATGTTCTTGACTTTGATCTTCGATCGGTTGAGGAAATTTGACTGCGAATCGGATCTGGAAATGAATTTGAGTGGTGGTGGTACTCGTTTATTTTCTCGTACAGAGGGATTGAATTCGAGATCTCTCATTGCCCTTAGTTTCTGTTATCTAGTGCATCCTGGATCCATCTTCAGGTGTCACAACATTAATTTCCTCTTGATTCCTGCTTTATTTCGGATGCTGTCGCTTGATCTGTTTTCCTCACGGCACCGGCCTGGAATTGCCATTTATACGATTTCAACACCAAATTTGTTATAATCGCCTGCTTAAAATGTATGAGATGTCAGTTGCAGTTCGAGATAGATGGTCTAATAATTTCAATTTCGTTTACTTTGAGGAATTTGGACGTCATCTGTTTCTGAGACCTTGGTCGCTAACTTTCTGAGCTCTCTTCCTTCTCTACGATCCACACTGTGATCTCCTACATGTCATCGGCTTGTGCAGGATTTCCGCTGTAACACAAATCAAAGTCGTGTTCAAAAGACCTCCATTCTCTTCCTGTTGCCTTCGGCAGAATTAGTCCTCTCTTCGATCTGAACATGTTGCTTTCCCGAAAATTTGCAGTTATTCAGCCTTCAGGCTTGATTCCAAGAAATGCGAATATCTCTGCTGCAACGTTAAGACGAGTGACATCTGATTTGCTACCCCGCTTGAATATGTGGTGACTGGCGTACCCCTCTCACCTGTGCGGAGATATGTATTTGGACTTGGAGCATATCTATCCACTGGAGCTGCGATACAGGCCGATTAAACCCGATCCTGAGAAGATGGCAACGGTCGGTGTCATCAATGGATAGATACCATCTCCTTGCATGCACATTTCTGATGGTCGGCGAGGTCCATTGAAGTCTACGGAATAATTCTCACGACTAGGTTCTTCGGCTGGCTTCATGTATACCCAGTAAATTTCCTCAAAAAACCATTACTCCGGGTAACTTAAACTGTCAAAATCTAAGTGACATGGAGCTGAGTTTCCAGCTTCAATGATAAGCTCAATTTTGGCTTCAAAAATTAAAGAGGTAGATTCGATGCATCATTAGTCCTACTAAGTTGCATTAGTTGCAATTCCTCGCGGTAGCAAAGACAACTGCGATTCTGGTTGTTTAAAGACAGTTTGATACTTTAATGGATTATTGTTGCTAATATCGAAGATAAATACATATTATATGTTCTCCCCGTCTCGCCCTCCTGCAAGTACCTTTGTAACCTTTCTGTGGCAAGTGCTACGCTTATTCTTTTGTCTGAACCGCACAAGGGTCATCATCCATTAATGATTCCGTGCTTAATTTCTTTGGCCTCCGTTTTGTGATGTGGAGAACGAGAACGTCTTGGAGTTGATATTTACACCGCATAATTCTGAGGTACCTGAAACAGTCTGAGACAAAATCGGTATTTCATGTACCCAGATTTTCTGCGACGGAAATTCAGCTCCAGCTGAAACCATTCAAGTCAAACATTTTGAAGTTTGGAGCTTCAGCACTTTTATCTTGGGTGTTTAGATCAAGTTCTGCTGATATATCTTCTTGTCCAAAGCTTCCAGAGGGCTTCTCTCTGTCTTGATCGAAAGCCATTATTTTTGATTCATGGAAGAGCTTCTCTCCCTCTCTATCTTTCTTTTTCACATTATAAACGGTAACCCCACGGTCACTCTCTGTAAGTCTTTCAATTGTAATGCCCATGGATAAATCCCCAGCGTCTTTCCAAGGTAACATTGCCCTTCCTGCATCTTTCCCTACAGATGAAGACAACTTTTTACATTCATTCTGCGTATCAGTCCAAGAAGGTTGAATGTGACCAAGCCCATTCTGTCCATCGTGGTTTGTGCATATTGTAAAATCATCATTGTAGGTTCCCAACCTCATCCTGATATTTTGCATTTCTCGATCCTTTTGAGCACCTTCACTTGATGTCAAGCAACTGTCCATGGAGCAATCTGCAAGTTGGTGTCTTTGAGCTTGAAAACCTCTGAAGACTGCCATTTCTCTTAGTCCTGGAATCTGAGAATTTATACATTCATTCGACACTTCAGAGACCAATTCAGAGAGCTGTGCTTTGGCTGCGTCTAGTCCGGCTGGACCAATATTTTGCTTTCCCAGAGTTTCCTGAGCCTTTTCAAGCACGGACTGTAAGTACTTTCCCTGAGCCTCTATCCTTAGCTGTAAGTGCCTTTGGACCTATTTTTGTCACAAGAAACATTTAGTTTCGTTCCAATAGCAATTGAAAAACTGACAGAGGAACGAAACGGGGAGAAAATAATTATAATCCACACCCACTATTAGGAGAGTTTTACCGCGTGAAGTGATAACATCTCGGGGATTTATTGCCTTAGAGAATTTATTTACATTTGGTTCGACAAAATATGGCAGTGCAGCAATATGGAAATTGAAATAGATTGATATTTTTTCTTGCTTCGTAGGATTGGGGAATAAATTAGAGAGGGTTCCTACTGTGGTATATTGGAAAAGAGGGAGAGTCTATGGTTTCTCTGAAAATCAAGCTATTTTCCTGAGGTGACATGAAGAGAGGATAGAGAAAGATAGATTGGAAAGAATGTGAGTCAAAAACCTGAGAGGCAAACAGGGATAAGAAATGTACAAATACATGGTATAAAGTTTCACATGTATTGAGGGAAGGATGTAACACTCAGGCTCAGTCTTTCTGAGCCGAATCAAAACACGAGAGTATGGGCTGATTTCTGGGTTGCAATTGAGCAGGCCCATATTGCCCCAGTGGTAGACCAGGGAAAGGAGGCAAGCACCTTGAACACATGCACGCACTTTATCCTATGAAATAGGAGGACACAGGACCAAGAAAAGAAGGCTGCAGGAAAGTTGTGGAATGTAAGCGATCGACTCAATATGGTTTTTTATAATATGGTATCCCTCCAATTCCTACAGAAGATCTCAAGGACTCTGAGAAGGGGGCTTCTGTACGACACATGTACATGCTCTTATATTGGTGTATGAAACACTCAGTCAAGTGTACAAAAATCTGGTTTGGTTGAAATTTACAGAAGTACAATTTGCAGATGACACCGTGCCGCTTAGACCAGACAGCGAGAATCATGAACCTGCAAAGGCCTTTACTGATTTTAGAACCACCGATAGGACTGCATGTTAAATCCTTTTAAAGTTAGAATTAGTAGGATATTTTTTGGATTTCAAATGGAATCCAACTCCATGAAGGAATCATGTATTGAGAATGTTCATAATTTCCGTCAGATATCCGCTGATTCCTTTTTCAGATAGAGCAGTCAGAGCTCAAGAGTAGACTACGTCCTATCACAGGTAGGAGACAGGGGATGCAAAGCGCGATCAGAAGATGGGAAGTTGATACCCTGTAAATAATGCTGCCAAGTATGGCTACAGAGTGACCGAGAAGAGGCTGTTCTCCTGAAGGTCTACTTTTTCATCACTCTGGACTAGAGATATCAGGTATGAAAAAAACTTCAAACAGTATCTCATGCCTCACTGTTTTTGGAAATTGTAATTTTTTCATGTTTCAGGAAGAACACAGGATCCAAAGACACTAGAAAAATAGCTTAAAAAATTATGTGCCTACCCACGGATGAAGAGAAACACCGGCGACTTCTGATTATCTAACTGTTTTGGATTCTCACATAATGGTCTCTTAATCTCTCGAGATATTTTTTCCTTTGTGGAATATAAGGAGATAATCTAATAGATTAATTTTCCCTGAAACGCCACTTGTCGAGCAACTCTCATCATGCACTGAATGAAATCAACATCTGCACGAGCTTTCTTTTTGAAATCGATTTATGGAATTAAAAGGTCACATCGTACGAGTCTGATTCAAGTGATGAGGCCTTACCTCGAGTTGTTCATGCAGCCTTTTCTGCACCTCGATTTGCATCTGAAGAGCTTCGCCTATTTGCAGGGTTCTGCGATTCCAAATAATATGGGAGCGTTACAAATGGCAGGGAAACTGCCTCAAGAATGATCTCACATCCAATATATTTGGCTCGTACTTATTTGCAGGGGAAGGTGTGGCAGTGCTTGTCTGTGTTCCACTTACTTCTGGTGGCCTCCCAGCAGATGCTGTATGAGCCATAGATTATAGTAAATTACCATTTCAAATCACCCTCTTCTTACTTGAGGAAAATTAGGGAAACTGTATCATTTACCATTCTTACAGGTCGCACTGTTTGCTTGTGTGTGGAGATTCTTGCTGAGCCTGTATTTCTGAGTGTCCGACAATGATAGATAGAGATGGAGAGAGAGAGAGAGAGAGAGAGAGGTGGGGTGTAGATTAGCTTCCGATTTATGATCAACATCGGTTAGAGCACAAAGGGAACTCCGAGGGTACCTGGAGGTGGCTCTTCAGGTGGTACAAGGTGAGTCCTGGAATGCCCATCAGCTTCATGATTGTCTTCGGGGTTGCCTCTGCAGAATGAAGCCCTCGAATCAGCCACAGCCACAGCCACAAGAAAAGGTAAGATCATCTAAGACCAGAAGAAGAAGAAGAAGAAGAAGAAGAAGAAGAAGAGCTGATTCACTGTTATGTTGACTACTCACTGTCTGCTCCGCCTAGCTGATTCACTGCTTCTATAAAACGGTCATGGAGGTCCTGGGTCCACTTCAGTCTAGGCTTGGCGTCAGTCGAGAGCACTAGCCCAGCATCCCCTGGAGCATTCGCCCCCTGAAGAAGCAGGTGCCTGTCCTGATGAAAGGCCGCTCTTGAGGTAAGGATCCCGTGCTTGCCCTCATGATGCCCGTACATTTCCTGTTCGGGAAATCAATCTACAGCCTCAACTTAAAATTGCAGACCGACCATTCTGAATCAAACTGTCGGATAATTCTCGGCACCCTCTTCATACCTCTGCTTCTGCCTCTGGATTCTTCTCGGTATCTGTTGCTATACCTCTCTCTCTCTCTCTCTCTCTCTCTCTCTACGCACGTTTATAGGCACGGTGATGGAGCCATTTCAGAGAAGACAGCTCGTCCCCCTACGGCCCGGGAGAGAGGAGCTTCCTCAACGTCTACCCTCTTCTGACAGCCTCAGAAGCCCCCACAGGGGGGGGGGGGGTTCCTTATATGGAGGCCCTCCCTCGTCAGAGAGAATGATTGAATCCCAACGCAAGCCCATCCAATATATCCCTCCGGCGCTTTAAAAAAGTCATCTTGTCCTTCTTGCTCCGGGCACCAACAAGCTTTCTCCTGCTCACCCCGCTTTCACATGCAGATGCCCGAATATATGCCTGAACCATCACGGCCGCCGCTTTTTCTCCCCGGCCGGCCGCCGCTCTCTGACAAACCTCCGACATGACGTCTTCATCGCCCCGCGAAGTAAGTTTTCCTCATCAAGCAATCTCCCGATGCCCATGTCGGCGACACGACGTTCTTGGCCCTGGTTTGATGATGCTCAGAACCATATTTTTCTCTGTTGACCGGGTTCTGCAATTTTCCAGATAAAGCAAGTAAGATTCTTGGGGGGGTGTCTGAAAGCAGAGAATGGGGAACATGGAATGAGCATTATATTCTCTTGCCGCCCCCTCTCTGACGTTTGGCACTTATTCATTATTTTTCCACAGGAAAGGAGACGGGGACCGGTGCACTCACTCTCTCCCCCCACCCCCTTTTTTCTCGGGGCGGCATTCAGACTCCGACAGGTTAGCATCAAGCTCCTCTGATCGCTGAAATTTCATTTATATTTCCTCGTGGATAATAATAGAGTATAATATATTTAATATGGTCCACATTCGCGCATGTTTTGTAGGAGCACTCGTAGAGCGCGCCTCTCTCACTAGGCTCATTCAGACCCATATGAATTCCCCAGTCCGATGAAGATATATCTCTAGCCCTTCACTCCTAACACACCTCGGAGAAAATTAGAGAGAGAGAGAGAGAGAAAGATCATTTTACGTCATTGTCTTGTCCAACGCGAAGTCAAAACACAACAGAAGAGGTCTCTTACTCGGCCTCCTCACGTGAGGAGGGAGGGGGGCCAAAGCGAGTCCGAGGTATTCTTTCTCTCTCTAGAAACCCGGTCTCTTTAGCGGAAAGCCCCCATGATTATTGTCATGGGTTCTCCATCTCGACCGCCGGCAGTTCGTTCCCGTCTTGGGAGAGACGGAGAGAATCTCTCTCTTCCCCCCTCCTCCCTCTCTCTTTCTCTCTCTCTCTCTCTCTCTCTCTCTCGCTCTCTCATCCCTCGCCCCCTTTTTCTCCGATTCCCCCATCATGACTCCGGCGCCGCTCCCTTTCCGGCGATTCCCCGCTCCCTTCTTTGGCCAAAGCTTTTCCAATCCCGGGCAACCCGGCTGGTCAGACCAATCATCGAATGGTCCACGTGTAGTCGCTGCTTGGCCAGTCGTGGGCTCCACTGCAGGCATCGCCGGCTTTATTCCTCTCTCTCTCTCTCTCTCTCTCTCTCTCTCTCTCGCTATCTATCTATCTATGTACCTCTCCCTTGATTGGCCACTCGTGGGGGGGGGGGGGGGCAGCCCGCTCCTTCCTGGCCCCAAACCGAGTTCAAGAAGTTCCAAAGGATTGCGTTGACACCTCGGAGCGCTTCTTCCGGCACAGGGCCTCCACTTCTCTATCGAATCTCCTCCCCCAGATTCCTACTTTTTGTGGGTCCCACTCTTTGGTGCTGTGGCCCCATTGGGCATCCGGTTCATATTCTAAAGCGTCGTCGGTGATAGATGCCTGAGAGGAGTAGGTAAGTATACCAAATTGATCACCACATATACATGAATATATGGGTGAATGCTAGGAAATAGACCATATTCTTCCTTTGAATTTGGGGAATAAGAATGATAAAGGTAGATATTAATATTGTTCTTGCCAAATTTGGCATCAAAAAAATAAAATTCCCCCTGAATTTGACTTCAATAGCCTTTTGGAGGAATGGATCAACCATTGAACGAAGAAGAAGATGGTCAACTCTACGGGACATAAGAAGCCATGGAGGGGGTGGTGGTGGGCTTAGATTTTCTAACGGCCCAAGAATGGGTGGGTCTATATAATGGGCCATATGAGGTCTTATGGGCCGGATGGAACCAAAACCCTTCCCCTGGCCTTGTTAATCCGGTTTGGATTGTTGGGCTTCCGGGCAGCACCCGTGGTTGTTCGACACGTGTCCGAACTCCCCGCCACCGCTCCTTTTTGGGACACGGGCTAGACTTTGCAGGTGGGAAAACCATGCCTCAGTGTGAGTGCCCTCCCAACTAGGCGACCCTGACCACGGGAGCCAGAGCGAACATTGACCTTCCGTGACCGATAAGAAGGCAAGAAGAAAAGGTGGGTGGTCGGTTTTAAATGCTCTCTCTCTCTCTCTCTCTCTCTCTCTCAAATCCATCTCTACAAGAAAATTGCAGCTTAGATACAAGAAAATCACACGACGATGCGAGGCCCTCTTTTTTTCCTGAATCACAAGAGATAGTACAAGAGTGTCAAGGGAGTCAACGGGTCAGGTCAGCCACTTCTCGTGAAGGACTGAAGGAAAGCAAGCAGGCTCTGGTGATGCCCAGATTCGAATAGGTGGCGGTGGGAGGAGAAAGCGTCCACCCAACGACGGATGATCGAGCTCTCCCCAAATGTGGTAAGGAGGACGACCGTTGACTTGAACGACCCACGTCTTACTTTCTTTTGGTCTTGCCCGAACCA